ATGAACTCCTCGGAAAGCCTGATAAATGCTCGGTAAGTCGTTCCGGCTCTTTTGATCGGGATTGTCCCGAGTCAGAGAGTCATACACGACCAGAACTGCTTCCATTTTCCAATTCGTACGATTAGACAATTAATTTATGGAAATCTTCGTGAGAGACTTTCCAAGAAAATCCTACGTGGAAAGCACTTAATTCTGTTCACTAGAGTATTAGTTAACGTTTTGTCCGCTTTTACTTTATAAATGAATCAGATGAGAGAGAGAGAGAGGCATTTGTTATGGAACATACTTATTAAAGAGCCGCATTAATGGATTTTTTTTTATTCGAAATATATCCTTTTTCTATCGCTTTTTTCCTGGAAAGTAGAGAAAATATTTATAAAGTACTTGGAGAGAGAAAAAGAAAGTTCGGTTATTGTTGAGTCTAAATTTGAGATTTCTAGTATTTGCTTACGTGCTTTTTCGGAGTCTTTAAACATGCATTGAGCTGCGGAACGGAAGTCGTGTCATTATTTATAACAGCAAGTTCTATAGAGTCACCAGAGTTTATATATGTTACATAAAAGCATCTAAAAGATTGTATTTGTGCGATAAAAATTCTTGACTTATAATTTAAAATGTGAAAAGGGAAAAATTAAGACAATATCTCAGTTATATCGTAAGGTAATAATAGTCTTGTAGTGTTCTCTAAATCATGATATTGTTTATAATATTATTACTTTATCATTTGTGTGTGTAATTATTAATTACACTATTTTCCTCTACAGCAGATGTCATCGAACTAATATTTCGAATAAAAATAATAAGGTATAAAATTACATTTTAACATGCATTCGTGCTCTGACATTTGTCATTTAAAATTCGCTTAATAAGTTCCTACCTAATCGTTAAAGATCTCATGATGATATAAAAAGGAAAATAGTTATGATCTGTTAAAGATAAAGATACTCGTAAAAGAAAGGATTAGAAAAGGCAGAGGTAAAAGTAAAGTTAAAATGACGATTTGTCGCATGCATAATGTTTCTTAAAAATTCGTATTTTCACATAAGAATAATATTGCATAGCTGATAATCTGCTTGTAAATATTACAACAAAATATTATGCGATTTAAAAAAAAGGTACTATAGGATGACAAAAAATATATATGTTTTTGCAGAATATTTTTTTTACTTATACAAATGGAAAATATATTTGAAGCAAGTTAGTGGAAAAGTTTCAATGGAAAGGTACTACTTTTGTCATAAGTTACATTGAGAGCAATTGATTTTAATCACGAATGATAAAAGTTGGTGTGATAAAACGTTAGTCATTAAACTCCAGAAGTCCGAAAGAATACATAAAAGAAATAAAGAAGTAAAAAAAAAGATTTATTTATTCCAGAAAAGCATTATCTTTCTAAAAGACTTCCACGAACGATAATAAGCAAAACAAAAACTATCAATGACATTAATCCTTTTCCAAAATGATTAATGAATCTAATTCGATATTTGCCAATTTTATTCGAAGATTTAAGTATGCGGATTTTTATATTTTAATATTATTTGCAAAATATAAAAGCCGATTTAAAAAATATATATATATATATATATATATATATAAATGGTAAATTATATATAAATATATGCATATGATATTTTGTGTGAAGAAACATAAAAAAGAACAGAATTTAAAACAAAGATTTGAAGAACGCTGACATACATATGTATCTTGCAAACATTCCAAAATAAAACAAATGTTACATTTTTGTCATATGTGAGATATTTGTAGCATTTAAAATTATGCTGCTAGTTTTAATTATTCATAACCACCAGAATATTAATACATAAATGTAGTAATTAAAATCCATATTTCTGTCTAATTATGCAGTATTAAACTGTAATATTTAGATAAAAATCTTGGTTCGTATTTATATTACGCGATAAAATCCTACGTGACATATACTAATTTTTTATTTCTTGTATAAATTTAATTAAAATAAATTTATACTTTTACATTATATTTTTAATTAATATAAACTTGATTATACCTACTTGATTTTTATAATTGTGTATAACATAAAATATAGAAATCGTAAATTAATTATTATTATTAATTTATTAATCATACTTTTCTCCCCGGTGCTTTTTACATCAGATTTTTAATGTTTAAATAATTACATGTAATTACAATAGGGTTTTCATATTTTAATGTTACAAACAAAAATATACACATTAAAATGAAACAAAAATTATATAATTAACATTCTTCTGTCCAAACACAGCAGTGAAGCCAAAATAATTAAAATAGACGCACTTGTCATCCGCGATTTGGCTCTTATTGCCTGTTTGACACTTTAAATTAAAATAGACATTGAACAAATATAGCGTGTATGTCAGATGTCATGCAAATGATTTAACGTTACACTCGTAGCTACAAGGTGCAATATTTCGCAATGTTAAATCGACCAGTTGTTGCCACGCCGAACATGTTAAACGTCTCTCCCAATGGAAGATTATGGATTTCAACTCTCGAATTTTTATCGACACGTACTATGACGGAAGACCGAGCAAAAGGGAAAAAAAATCGTGTATTCTCCACAGATCAATATCGGCTTTGCGTTATCTTTAATTTTTCTTCAATTTTCAAAACTGCTGAATACAAACTCCATATGTTTCACAAATTAAATCCATTTCCGCAGATAATAAATAACAATTGTGGCTAAAAAACTACTGGCTAAGATATATCCGACGTGTAATTAATTTATATGCTCTTTCTATAAATCTTACGACGTTCGAAAATATTATTGAGACAATCGCTCGCAACCGTTTCGTGATATTGCTTGTTGCCAGCATCTCTCTTTTCCGGGAATATAAAATATTTATGTAGACGTGCCTCTCCATTGCAAGAATAGAGAAATTTGAAATTTTACTATCGAAACCCGGCAGATACTTTGGTTCTTGCGAACTCTGAAGTACTTTCCGCCAAGGTACAACAATTTATATATATATCAAATCGCACAAAACAAAAAGGGATGAAATGTCGTAATAGTAAAACGCGTGTTTCAATCGTTATTCAATCAGATACAAACAATATAATGCAAATGGTATGCAAACAATGAATATGTATATATACACGCGCGCGCAATTTCCCTTTAACTTTTGTATAATTATGTTCATCTTGCATCAATTAATAATATTTAAGGAAAGCCATTTTATAGCTTTGTAAACATAATTTCAAAAACTGAAAATAAATATTAGGTCGCAACTCCCTATATATTTGTAAGTATAACACAATAACTTTTGTAGAGTATGATTTAATTATACTTCTTTCTTAAAAATATGCTATATTATCACTAGATTATTATTATACATACCTACATATAGTATATATATGAATATATAATGGCACACATTATTATCTTTGTGAATAATTTTGATTGTAGCACAGGATTATTTTATGCGTTAGAATTAATATCAAATCTAATTTAGCTTTCTATATTTTCCATGTTATTATATTATACTCATAATTAATACGCGAATTTCCCCCTCATTATATAACAATAATGGTTGGGAAAAGTTTATTTGTCGCCTGTGAATCACATTTTATCTGTATTTGTTTCAATTTGTGGGCAAAGATCAAACTCATTTTCATGCGAATAATTGCCAAAATTGCCTATGCGTATATATATATAGTCCGTTCATTCAATACGAATAAATAATAATTATTTCCAAATAGATATTACTCGATATTAAATTCGCTGTCGTCGCATATATCGTAGTCATTATATCCGTTCTATGTATATACACATTTATAGTCGCCATTTTATACGTCATGATCGTGATTTAAAAAAATTGCCATCGGAGATCGGCATTAACGTTAATTTCGTACAAAGCCTGACGATGAATCCCGCGGTAAAACAAATCACTAAAATTCATTTCGTCGAATAAATTTGTCAAATCACCTTTACACGTCAAAAAATATGTCACCGTGACATTTAAAATTTTAATTCAATTTAGCGCGGGAATATTTCGTCAAAAGCCGAGAATAAATTTCGCTCAACAATCAATCTAACATACCATAGAAAATTAATAGTTTCGGTGGTAATATAATTATACGCATTCTCTCTATTCCTGTCGCCGTACAAAGCATATTTATTTAAGCGCCGATAAACGCAAGATCGCCGGATAACAGAAACACACGCGAATATGTTTAATTAAAACGTAATTATTAATATCGCCGAATCGTCGTCGATCTTTGCGTATTTTAAATAGATATCGCTCATAATATTCTCACGGTCCATTTGCGGACTTTGTCCCAATGGAATATCCATGTTCCGATGACAGAGCAGAGCTTCATCGAAAGCTTAATCCCAGATAGGACGCATTTGTAATCTGCAACCTTTTTGTCTCTTTCTCTCTCTCTCTCTCTCTCGAATTTCTCTTTTATTAAGCGCCTACTTGGAAGATTGGTTCTCCGTTAAAAACTCGCCCATTACAAGTGGATCGTGTTATTTGCAATAGATTTTCATCGATGTCACGAGTGGGAAAAAATTGACATAGTGAGTAGATGAAAGAACGAGAGAGACAAAATCGATCGAAAGTGAGAGAAAGAGATGACATAGATCACGGTCGCAAGTATGCAGTGCCTTCTTTCCGCCTCGTCGCGAGGGATTCAACGATGCATCAGGTCGAAGAGAGGGAAAAAAAAAATCCGGAACTGTATCGGAACTATGTCGTGAAAAAGAAGGGGCCTACGTGTCGCAACGAGGGATTGAGCTAAACGAAGAGAAAGAAAAGTTCGTAAGAGAAAGAGAGAACGAGAAGTTCGTGTTGGAAGAGGATCGAAGGAAAGCACGGAGACTGCGTGAGAGAGCGGGAAAAGCGCGCGAGGGTGAAAGAGAAGGCGGAAAAGCGATGGAGCGACGTCGGAGAGAGAGAGAGAGAGAGAGAGAAGAGTGGGAGTAGGGGAAGACAGAGACAGAGAACGGAGGGTTCGTTTGCCGAGCTCAGTTACGCCGCGCCCCTTGCGATGAGCGTTACACCACACGGGGGTGAGATCGCGGTGTCTTTTCTCGAGGAAGAGAGAGAAAGAGTGATCGCTCTCTCTTTTCTTCGCTGCTTTCCTCTATTTTTTTCGCGATAGAATAATTGACGACGCGAGGAAAAAATTAGGAGAAAAAATTCCGAAAGGAAAGTGACAGCTAGCACGTTGGAGAGGTTGGTGTGCACGTGTTTGTTCTCCAACGAAGAATTAAACCCTCCTAAGGTCCTCGACGCTCTCGATACTTATGCCGTCGTTCGAAACTCTCCGTCTCGGTGGATGTTTGACTATATAACAAGTCGTGTGTATGAATATTTAGCGTGAGAGAGAGAGAGACACGTAAGGGAAATCGCGAGACCTCTCAGCTGATCTTCGCGCGAGTGGAAGAGTGTATATTTACGCGAGAGCAAACTGTATTTAATACATTGATGGATTATATAATATATTATATATAAATATTGTGTATATTATAATGTGATTTCTGGTTAATATCGGATGGTGATCGAGTGACGGCGATATTTGCTCGAGAAACATTCAGCGACGTTTTAATCGACGATAAATTGATCTGCGAATCGTCATTTGCGAAGAGGGACTTTGTGACATCTTTGACTTGAAGCCAATTAAAATTATCGAGGGCGAATGCTAGCAATGATGTGTAGAAGCGGCGTGGCAAAGTTTTAATAGATAAAATACTTTCGGAAGAGAGAGAAAATATGAACATGATTGAGTGATCGATACGTGATTTCGTTTAAGAAGTTTCTCGTTTGCGGAGATAGGCAGGTATGAAGTAGCCGAAACTTTCAGAAACTTTTAAAACTCTCTGTTGATCATACAAATTTCGAATCGAATGAAGCGAAATTAAGGAGGCGATTCAATCTCGAGACCATCTGTCAAAAAGGTAAATAATTTACATATTTCGTACGCATGACTTTTACATGTAAAGAGCCATTTAAACAGCGCGCCTGTGATTTTATCCGATGATCAAGACATTTCTTCATTAGCTTTTATTATTCCGTTAAAATTAAAAGATCAATTATTTTAGAAATTTTGCAATATTTGCATACTTTTAAAATAAATACATGTTTATGCATTATAATATACGAAAAATAGTAGGTAACTCTTTTTTCGTAACAATATTTTTTTATCGAAATAAGTTTTCTTTACGCGATCTTATGTAAATATTAGGCGATTTCATCTAATATATACTACAATATTTACACGCGTTTGCACGAAATGTACATACATATATAATTGTATCAAATACACGTCTACAAAGGAAATCACGAAAATAAGCAGAAAAAATAAAAACCTTTTTCTTTATTTTAAAATTATATATTACATGCATTAATAATAATAATTATAATAATAATAAAAGTTTCTGACAAAATATATTACATGTAAAAATACATATTTAAAAACTATGTAATTTATTTTACGTATGTTTCTTTTTACTGTATATGTAACTTTTAAGATAACGTATTTACCGAAAGATATCGTTCTATGAACAGAAAAAGTGTCATCTTTTCTATCGAATGACAAGAAGAAATACGCGAAGAATTCCACACTCGTTCTTGCTCCAGCAAAAAACTATACAGCAAACTAGGTCGGAGCATGAAAGCGTGCTGCATTTATTTACGAATTATGATTTCGCGAAGAAAGAATGACCGAATAAATCGCAAGTTTTCCGGGCACGTTGCACGCCGTGGAAATCGGAGTTGATTATACTCGCAAAAGGGCTCTCTTTCTCTCTCCCACGAATCTCTCTCGAGCAGGCAGCATTTTCGGACAGTGAAGTAGCGTCAAGTACGCCACGAACAAATTATCGCGAACAATCAATTGTACGAGAGCCGACGGACGCGAAAATTTAAAGGGAAATCGAGGACGGAAAGCGTCGAGCGAGCTTTTAGCTATTCGGACGGAAATGTCGGGAGAGCGAAGCAGCTTTGCCAGAGAAAATTCCCTCGAACTAGTTCGATTTAGGCGAGTCCAGATACATTTCGGAATTTTAAAAGTCGCGATTCAAGTTTTCCTTACAAAAGAATAAATTTGCTTCACGTGCTGGACGGTTCCGCTATCGAATCGTCGCACATATCAAGATCGATGGAACTTGAACTCGATTGTTTTCGACTTTGTCTCCGATTGGCGATTTCCACCTATTAAACGCCTCATTTTGTGAAGTCGAAGTTGAATTGCGATGAGATAAACGGACGAGAGTAGAGAGAAAGAGGTTTCTTCTTTTGTTAGATCTAATTTAATTCAATGTTGCAAGATTTGCTAATTTACGCTCTATATATTGTAATTTATATGGTCCACTCTAAATATTTTTTCTTTTTTTTTTCCAAAAAAAAGTTTCGCACAAAAGTTGCTTAACTTAAGAGAAAACAGCTGTAAATTTGTTTATAAATGACGCTATTTTAAAGAAATTTATTAATAATTTTGTGGTTAATAAAAATAATTTTTTAGGCAAAAAATTTGTAGATCTCATCGAGATAAATGCAACTATATGTATTAGTTGAGTATTTTCTTGATTTTTCCATAAGTTTTAATCTTGAGACCACTGTCAAAGATAAATAATTTATGTATTTTATATGCACGACCTGTATAAGCAATTTAAATGCACGCGTTTGTAGTTTTCCACATATTTTTTAATTTTGGAATATATTAATGTTATGAAAATATGTCAGAGAAGTAAAACAGATGTAAGGTCTCTTTAATACTAATATACATATATGGTTGAATTTGTTTTAATAAAACTCTCCTACAACTTTTGTTAAAAGAATCGTGTTTCCAATTTAAAAAAGTAACCATTTTATTCTTAATAAACTTCTCGGAAACGATACCATCTGTCAATTAAATTAATATCGCTATTTTATGTCTCTCTTTTTTGTAAAAGATGTAGGAAAAAAAGATATATAGGATGGGACATTAATATGATCTACTCTGTATCTGTATATAGTTTATGAAATGGCAAAAGTTTCTTAACAGAAAGTAATATTTTAGCGATAACAAGATAACAATAACACAAAAAAGATCATGTAAAAATAATACAATTATATTGTCAAATGGCAGACTTGTCAATTATGAGCACCTTTATAACGCTCATGTTTTTGCTGCAAGTGTTGCTTGCAATTTCCCTCGAATGGCGCACAGCCAAATAGTCTTGATTATAAACGAATTAAATCCTTAAAAGCTGAGCATTTTATCAGTGTGGTGTTTCGCCAGTTTTTTTTTTTTTTTTGTGACATTCGGAGGAGACGCCACGAAATTGTGAAAATCCACCGTGCTTTTCGCTTTTTGTCAAACGATTGGATGATTAATCATGCCGTCCTACATCCTCTTCTGTCCCTTTGGCCTGTGTGTGTGTGTCCACATCTACGCAATACGCGTTAATTTCTGTGCGCATATGCGTCACCCGGACCGTGTACCTTTTAGGTGAACGAGAATTCATCAATGTCTAAAACTAGAGTGAAGCCTTCCGAGTGATTGACCGTAGCTAGGCCTTATCATTCCATGTGTGTGTTGCTTCACTACTAAATCTAATATTTCTAATCTAGCGATCCAATATTTCAGAGAAATTTTGTGATAAAAATAAATTGCCGTTATCTTGTAATAATTTCTCGCTTTTTTTTCAAGAAAAGAATAATTTTATATTTATATTTTCATTTTATATTAATTTTATATTAATTACAAAATTTAATAATAAATTTATTTATATTTTTTATATAACTGTTTTGTATTCATAAAAGTAATCAACTCTTCTAATAAATTTGTGATTTTAATGTCACTCTGTCAATCAATTTGCATATGAACATCTAATAATCTTTTGATAATCTCTAAAAAAAATAATTTTATATTTATATTTCAATTTTATATTAATTTTATATTTCATTTCTAATTTAATAATTTACATTTAATTGTAAATTTATTTATATTTTTATATAATACTTTATATTCATAAATTTCGTTTTTCCCCAACTTTTTTCAATATGTAACTTTAATATCACACTGTCAATTAATTTGCGCATAAAAAAATCTAATTTAAAGCAATCTATTCTAATGAAAAAGCTTACTTTCATTTTCTATAATTTGATAAACCTTTTAAATACTGAATTAACTATCTTTATACAATTTATACGAGCAGACTTATTTTATCGCTTATGTTCAAGAACGTTACAGGAACCGCGATTGCATGAGCTCCCTTACATATGGTGATACAATTGATAACCGTGCATAAGCGCGTTAGATTTATCCGGCGCATCAACACTCTGACCTCATTCAACCGTTTAATCCACACGAGATACGTACGTATGATTAGACGATTCGATGGAAACGGAGAACCATTCGGTATCCCGGTGCTTATCCGCTCGCTCAACGGCCTCCGCAATTCACGTTAGCCCGATGTAGCCCGACCATGGATAGTCGACGAGCTTATGAGCTTTTCAACGGACGCGAACCAACGGACTCGAAGCCATCGTCCAACAAGGACGACATATCCCAAGCTTATATGCACGTATATCGCGGTCGATCGATTCCCCATGCCTCAAACCTGCCATCCCGATCCTTAAATGAGCATTGCCGTGTAATGTCGTGCGGTGTTTAAGCGAACGAAGCACGTACATATATTTCACGCGCGATTGCTGCAGCTGATTGCCTATTTTCCGCGCACAGCAGCATCGCACTTAAGTAAAGATATTCCGAGAGGCGTCTTCACACGTTGTATGACGCACGACATTTGCAGTCGCATCCTAAAACCTATATGGCTCCCTGGAATTTTTGCCCAAAGGTAATGTGTGTCAGAGCGAAAACATAACGCGATATAATTGTAGCCACGGTTGAAATTATTTATATCAATTTACTTTTAATTGCAGACAGTCGATATTGACGCTCGGCTAGCGAGGGATAAATGTGGCGGTTCATTTATAGTCATTACAATAATGCAATCTCCTCACAGTTTTTTGTCATTTCATTGTAAATTGTATTCTTATTTTTAAAACTTTCTACTTATTTTTAGAGTTTTTAGAATCTTGTTATAAAATAACCGCTAAAAAATATTTATATTAGAAATATCTGATATATATAAATTAGAAATATACAATATATAATAATATAATAATAATAATATATAATAAAATATGATATATAAATTAGAGAAATATCTGAAAAATATTTCTTGTAAATAAGTGTATTGTTTTATTAAATTAAAAATAAATCTCATTTCATCCATATTTTTTATAAATTAGAAATATCTGATACTAATCTTTAGAGAAAGATTAAATGTTAGATTTAATTGTTAGATTTAATCTTCGTCTAAAGGTCTTTAGATGTAAAAGCTTCTTCTAAAAATTATAATATCAGATATTTTTTACTTTATAAAAAATAAATAGACAAATATGATAATGTAACATCGAATGGAACGATTCTCATAAAAGAATATAAACGTTTGTTATTAACAAAGACTATATTTTTAGTTTTAGAAAATGTTTCAGAAATATTTAAGAATATCTGTTAAGAGGGATTTTATATAATATAATATACAATCCTCTTACTTCGAGAATAAAATTTTTTGGTACACGATTTTTTTTCTTTTACACAGCGAATCCCGCTGTATGGTTTAGGAAATATTTATTGTGAAGTAATATCGACGAAAAATGTGGATATGAACGACGGATATAATCCGGTTACCCCCGCTGATTGAACTTTTATAGAGATGCAAAACTATATTTGTATTAAGAGGAAAGTGGACGATATATTCCAGATTGCGCGCGCCACGAGAAAGTAATTTCGGGAAGCTATTTCGCGTTACACAATTGCCGTGAAAAACGTGCAACTTCCAACGCGGCCAATTTTATTTTTTTTTTTCGCGCGCACAAGCAATGCTAAAATCTGTCACCGGAACGC